GGACCGTGGAGGCAGTGGAGCTGTGCGTGAGTTTGTGGTTTATGGAGAGTAGGGTTTGCATTTATATACTATCATACTAATGCTATTATTATGAGCTAATAGTAAGTGGGCCGATTGGCTGAGTCAGGTAGATGTAATGGGGGGATTTTGTTTTGGGCTGGATAGAAAAGTAATGTAAAGCCCAATAATCAATTTAATTGTGTGTGCATGTAGTTTATTTTTTATTTTTTCAGTGGGTAATCAGTTAGGTTTCGGTTTAACAACGTAAATACCATACTCGCACCGCTACAAACTGGTTCATTAAGATCAAATATCATATCCGCCTTATTGCACCATCGGTTTGATTTTTTTCGCCCTATTCAGTTCGATTAACCGCGATTTTTGATTTTAACGGTTCAAATTGCGATCCCTATAAGAAACCTAGCAACATAGGCCCCACATTATTTTCAAACAATCACCTCTTACTGCTAATATTCAAGTCAAAAGTACAAATTGCTCATTTATGAAAATGAAAAATTTGATTAAAATTTACTTTTTATCTCATTTTGTGCATATGTCGGGTATTACTGAAAGAAATTAAACGGAACAATATACGAGACTTTTGTAATGTATTATTCAATCTTTCTTACTAAAGTGCATGTTTGACAAGCATTACTGATGGAGATTAAGCAGAACAATAAAAGAGAGTTTTGCATTGTATTATTCAATTTTTCTCCCAAAGATGGGGGACGAAAAGTAATTAACTATATAACACCTAGTACCTTCTTGAGAATTTTTTTTTTTTTAATATACAAGGTTATATAATAGAAATTGATACCAACAAACCTAAATTATAAATACTTAGGGTGTGTTTGATTACATTTATTTTTTATGAAAAATATCAATTTTCCACCCAAATTCCTACTTTGAGTGTTTAATTGCTATTTTTTTTCATGAAAAACTTTTTTCAACTTTTGAAAATATATCTAATTTTCCTTATTTTTAAGGAAAATATTTTCTTTGGGTAAAAGTAATTTTTATTTTCCACAAAAAATAAAAAATATTTTCTTTTCTAGATCATATTTTTCATGTCAATCAAACACACTCTTTATCATTTTGTATATTATATTTTCTCCGCCTCCTCTTCATTTTCTTCTGCTACTCTCCCTTCCTCTCCCTCCTCTATATCTCTTCTACA